GTTAGAATTATGGCATGTGGCTTGCCGTACAGCTGGTCGTTATTCAGAACGGCATAATATAAAGCTTCATATCCGTTAAAGGTCTATAATAAGTAAGATAATTAAAGCTTTACAATTTATTCGTAAACTTTACAATGAGACAGTTCACGCTGTCACAGAAATTCTAATGGTTTCAAAATGACTTTACACCCAAAGTGAAACTAAAAGACAGAGTAACTGTTTGAAAACATGTATAAATTAATCTCATATTGCTAACATTTGTCAGCCTTCGGGTTTTACATGTTACAACGACTGCGTGAAATGCCTTAGAATATAATAACATAAACCTACATCATCTTCGTCCAAGATGGAGAAAAACTTGATAAATTTTATCAAACATTTATCATCTTGCAAGACACAGTCGTAACCCAAGGTCACGATGGCAGGAATAATGGTGTCCGACTTTCCCCGAAAGTTGCTATTCTTATAGAGAATAATGGCCCCCTCGTCCCCCGAGGCAATCTGGGCAGCAATATTCGCGATTTTATAATCCTCAAATTGATCTTCGAGTTTGGCCACGGATTCTTTCAACCTGCCGATGGAACCCACCACGTCTTGCAGGGTGCGGGACAGTTGGTCTATCTGCGGCTGGAAGATTGCTTTACCTGCAAAAGATAATATTTACGTAATAAAAAAGTAGATTCTTAAACCACCCATCACACCCTTCCCTATCTAACCGAACTATTTTTAACGGAGACAATTAGATTACTATATACAATTACTTAACAGTTAAAAATTTATTATAACACAAACTACATACAAAATATGAACGAACATTGATGATTCAGTAGGTAACAAATAAAAACTGTCATTTAACCATGAAAAATTATATAACCCAAAAATAAAATAAATTGCAGCAAGGCAGGGTAGCGCAAGAATACTGAGAATTCAATACAAAACGCAGAACTTGAGAACACTTAATTTAATTGTGTTTGATCTATAGCCTCAATTTTTGTAAAAAATCTCATTTTGCCCCGACCACACCCCCTAGGTATGAAGGGGTGTGGCACAACTGGGGAACACTTAATGTAACTCTACTTCATCCATAGATTCAATTTTTTTAAATCTCATTTTACCCCGACCACACCCCCTGGTGCCCGGGGGTGTGGTCCTGTTGGCCGCAAAAGCTAACGGGATCTTCCCCATAGGGTCAAACGTATGATGCCGTAAACCGATTTCGATTATCCCGATCCGTTCTCCCGTTATCGTGTTGGCAGACGGACAGACAGACTATGTAACTAAGTCATCGCATAAAGTAGATTGTGCTACTTAATAACGAATATTATTATTTAAGTAAAACATTTTGCAAGGTACAGGTAAAAAACCTACATAGGAGCATGCCGATAAACTCTACGACGTTTTGACGTATTTTTTTCGACAAACATTACACAATTAAACAAAAAAAATTGTTACCCTTGTTCCAAATGTTGTCGAGCCGATTTCTCATACCAGCCAGGCTTTGCTGCAGATCTGCGATTTGGTCGCGCAGATTATCGATGTCCAGAGATGGATTAAGTTGGCTTATTTTGTTTTGTAATGCAACAATTTCAGATTTGAGATTGTTAATTTCTTCCTGCATTTCCTGGTCGGAGTTTGGAGGCTCCATGTCATTGAAGCTAGACCTGAAATTTTGTAAAAAAGAATACTCGAACCAGTTTTGGTATAATTTTTGCCGTTCTTGCATGATTTTTCTGCATGTGCAATTTTTGCATTTTCGCTTCAATTCTGAATTTATCATTGACCTGGACTACAAGTAATTAACTAACAATGGAGGTCTCTACATAAACGTATGTTACATATATACTATAATACTACACGTATGTGAAGTTTATTTACTACCTCCAAGCGGTTTTTCGAAACTTCAATTTTTGGCTAAATTATAACGAATTTTAAATTTGTTTTTATTTTTTTCTTTCAAATTACGTATCCCATTCATCAAAAACCTTCAATGCTAAATTGATAGTCAATTTGAGCTAAATGTTTTCGTTTCCCGAATCCTTTTTTTAATAAAAAAAATAAATGTTAAAGCAACGAATTTAGCCGAAATGAAGATACGAGTAAATCGGATTTGGGTGGGAGTGGGGGTAGATTTTGGTGGTGGTGCATTGGGTTGGGGTGGAATTATCAATGCCGTATTTTAAATCAAGTAGCAAAAAAAATGTACGTCGTATCGCGTATCAAAAAAAAACATCCGTTGCATTTGTACCAAATTCATAATGTGATTTATGTAGAATAACGACTAACTAAATTGATCATATCACGTACATATTTGGTGCGAATAAATATTTCTCAAAATTTTTTGAAATAAATACGAGTGCTCCTTTACAATTTTGTGGAAAACTGAATGATAAGTAGATTTTTTGTGTAGTTTTATTCAGAAATTTTGAAATTTTCCATTTTTTTTTAAAAGTGAACTTTTCCTGCTTTTCAGAAAAAAACTCAAAACTTGAAAACTGATTGGAATTAATATTGATCTTTTATAGAGAATGGTGAAAATTTAGTTGGTTGCTACCAGCTGTAGTCATGAATTCAATATTGTACTCAAGAGAATTTTTTTTAGAATTATTGCCTCACAGTGGAGATCTCCAAACGTATGCTCACAAATTTGGACTAAGCTGGTGGAAACCGATCATAACTTTAATTAGTATGAAATTTGTAAATAATACTATCAATCACTGCTCAGGTTTGGCCTATTTGCATAAATAGGGGATAAATCGCGCCCGAATGTTGAAAAATTTTACATTCTACAGGTTCCAAATTTACTGCGCGCTATCGCCTCTTCAGATGCAAATATCTCCGCCAAATTTGCGGATTGCGAGATCGTTCCATTTGCAAATTTCATACCAATTAAATTTGTCATCCATTGACACCTGATTGGTCCAAATCTGTGGGCATATGTTTGGAAACCTCCATTTTCAGTGAGGTTAAACGTTTAAAAAATTTGAACTCTAATTTCGTTTAGGTCTTGTTTAACTGCAGAAACAAGGCGCTTAGTTCCTGTTTGGAACGGTGCCATTAAATAATTATCAGATTTATGTAACTCACCTTGACGCCATCACTTTCACACTATCCATCGCCACTCGCAAATTTTCCACAGCGGATGGGATGAATCTCGAATGGGAAGCAAAAGTTGTAGTGATAAATGGAGGTCATGGTGCCGAAAGAAGACAATTGTCGCTTCTGCAAGGGCTTGTTAATTTTTCTACCTTCTCTCTGCAGTAAAATCTGTTACGATTCTGAAGGATTTCTGTGAAATCCGTCAGGATTTTGTCGAAATTTCAACGTAGGGGGCGACCCAGTCACTTTTTCGAAAAATTGCAAATAGCACAAACGTCTTATCTTTCGATTTTCTATAAGAAAAAAGTGTGGGGAATGGATATTCCACCCGACGATCCCACCACTCGGCACACGGAAGCCACCGTGGCCGAGCTCGACTGTAAAAAGAAGGATCTTCTCTCCGTCGCTACACAGACCGACCCGAGGGTTCCGAGTGTGAACACCTCCACAACTCTTCTCTCCACACTTTCTGGCACCACGCCTTCAGCGTGGCTGCCATTTTGAAAATTATATTCTACATACAAGTTTCCCATTTCATACATTATTCCACAAGTTATCATTTGAAATTTGGTATTAAATAAATTCGAAAAAACTATTGTCAAGCTATAATTTTGGTGCGTATTGAACAGTCGGTCTACTTTGGAGCACATGAACCATAATAATAATTCTTTGTGAGTCGGAAAAACTATCTGGCAGTTTAGTTGAATTATCGTGCATAAAAGTTTCCGTAGTGAAAGAAAGAGACATAGAAAGAGACAAAGAAAGAGATAATTTTGTCGGTGTGACAGTGCTAAGCGAGAGACAATTAGATTCATCCTCCCCGTGCCCGTCGTCGCTCTCATCTAGGCTACCCCCCCTGTGGCGTGTAAAGAAGGTGGCCCGTGACCAGAAGCGTGCCGCATCCGTCCCCCAAGGACCCTGACGTCCGGTACTCGATGAGACTCGCCCATATTCCCCTACCGAGCCCACGCCGCCATATTTTACGCCCACAAAAGTCAATAGCGAGCTAATTTTAGAAGTAGCTTTGGCATGATTTGTGTTGAAAGTAGAATCATAGTCTCACTTTGTCTCATTTTCCCCATTTTATTTTATTATTCGAGTATCCCGGTTTGGGGATATTTCATCATCTTTCTGGATCTTTCTGGAAGCGTGGTGAACGTGTGTATGATTGGATTTTTTCTTGGTTTTTTAGTGCCAGTGCGATTGTAGAGTTTGTACTGAATGTGTCTCTCTAAATCTGTTCTCATTATTCTAGTTCAATTTAATAAATTACCTCCAAGGAGAGGATTTTGATTGAACATTTACACGTTTACTTATCTCACTTAATAAGTCACTCGCAGTTCACATTTTTAAACTGAGAAGAAAAGTTAGCTGGTGGTTAATTATTTATCTCTCAACATTAGTGGTGACCTCGACGTGATAGTCGAGTGTCTGTGAAAGTGAATAAGTGATAGTTGTTCCTGATATCAACAAAGTTGTAGGAACATTGTTTTTGGTGCAACCCTTAGCCGACCATCCTGGTGACCAGTGAGAGCTTTGCTGACCTGGCGAGGAGGCAGGAAGGAGTACACCGACGGATATCACCAGTTTTGCCTCTTTGAGGACCCGACCCTGAGTATTCGGGGGATTAGCAGGTGATATCATTTCTTAATTTATCGTTTCCTGACCCAAGTACCGGAGGAGAGCATTGTCGAATCCGTGCGGGAGGAAGAAGACCCAGCCAAAGGACCAGCAGGAGAGACGTTTGTTGTAGTTATCACACGTTGTTTGATTTGCCTCTTTGAGGGCCCCATTCTGAGCATTCAGGAGTTGATGAGGTCGTAGCGTTCGAGAGGGAATTCTACACGTGTATATACTAATTGTTTCTTTCTGTTTGGGTTTGTTGTTTACTGAGATTCGCTGCGATGGACCGGCTGACGAGGAGGAGAGCTCCACTGCGGGCAACCATCACAAAAACGGTAAACGACATTGATGAAGAACTGGAAAAGGACCCACCAGATCAAGAAGTTCTCAACCTGAAACTGAACAAGTTGGGGAGGCTGTTGACAGAAGTGGGGGACCTGGACCAGAAGGTTAAAGATGCAATGTTAGATGCAGATTGCACCGATGCCGAATACGAGGCAGAAATCAACGTCATTCAAGATTATGAAGACAAGATTCATGCTACGCGATTCAAAGTGGAGAAAGTGCTTCGACCAGGAGGCAAAACTCCCAGCCCACCAGCGAGTTTCTACAGTGTAGAGTCTGAAGGACATCAGAAGAAGACCTTCAAACTTCCCAAGATTCAACTGAAGAAGTTCAGTGGGGATTTGAAGGAATGGCTAGGGTGGTGGTCTCAATTCTCTAAAATTGACGAAGATGAGGAACTTCACGCTAGTGACAAATTCCAATATCTACTGCAATGCATGGTGACTGGATCAAGAGCAAGAGGACTAGTTGAAAGCTTCCCAATGACAGCCGAAAACTATCCCAAAGCAATTATCGCCCTAAAGGAGAGATTCGGAAAGGAGAAACTTCTTCAACAAGTTTATGTCCGTGAACTATTAAGATTGGTCATCGCAACGGCCAAATCTAAGGAAAAGATAGTTTTGTCCGAACTCTACGATAAGGTGGAGACACAGCTACGGGCCCTGGAGTCTCTCGGTATCAAGCCAGAGCACACCACCCTGTTCCTTTTCCCGATGGTGGAATCATGCCTACCTGAAGAAACCCTTACGACCTGGCATCACAGTCCGCTACGGAAAGAAGACGGAAGCAAGCTAGTCCCACCAAAGAATGAACTTCATTTTCTCATGGAATTTTTACGTGAGGAAGTTGAAAATGAAGCAACGATGAGATTAGTCAGAGCTGGATTCGAAACAACAGCAATTCATGAATCATCAGGGAAAGAGAAAAAGAAGAACGGATCAAAGGCGGAAGTTGCGAAATCTAAGAACAATGAAGGTAGCATCCCAACCGCTGCCGGACTTTTTGCTGGACAGAAATCATACACGTGTATTTTCTGCAGCAAGTCTCATCCAAGCCCTGACTGTTTCAAGGCTCAGAACATGAATCTTCAAGACAAGAATGAACTAATTGAAGTAAAGAAAGCCTGTTCTATTTGTCTCGGCACTGGCCATCGCTCAAACAGTTGCAGGACCCCCGTCAAGTGTATTTTGTGCTCAAGGAAGCATCAGACAGTAATGTGTCCAGAGATTTGGTCACTGAGGAAAACTGGACACAAGACGCCAGAAGCAGAATCACCAACAACAATGAACGGGATGGCCATGAATAGTCACGCATGCTCCGGAGATGTTCTACTCCAGACGTTAATGGTTCGACTCTACAATGAGGGTGGGGGATACAAAGTAGCAAGACTCGTATTCGACAATGGAAGTCAAGGAACTTCCATCCGTGTCAAGTCTGCCCAAGATTTGAAGTTGAAGCCCATTGGAGAGAGCTGGTCACGTAAAGTGTTATACGGCGGCCAAGTCACCGATATGCCAAGTCACCGATATGAGCCGGAAATTTGCGGTCAGTTAAGTCGCGTCCCGAAGGGTCCATGGATTCAAGAGCTAGCTGCAATGAAGATCCACTTGAGTGATTTCAAATCAGAGAATGCGGAAATCGAGATCTTGGTGGGCAGTGACTACTATGGACAACTCGTCACCGGGCGTGTTGTTCAACTTAAATGTGGATTGACAGCGATCGAGTCAGTATTAGGATGGACACTGTGTGGGAGAGTTCCAGGGGAAACAAATGTGGCCGCAGTCGTCCTTTCCACAGCTCTCATGTCGTGTCAAACTAGTGTGTCTGAGTTGTGGAACCTCGAAACTCTTGGCATCCGCGATCCTGCTCAGGTCAAATCGAAAACTGAACGGGAGGAAGCAACCAGACAACATTTTCAAGAAACAGTGTCTCGTGGTGAAGACGGGCGCTATTCAGTTCGATTACCTTGGGTAAACGGACCTCCGAGCATTCCCGACAATAAATCAATCGCGATGAGAAGATTGGAGTCCACTACCAAGAAATTACAAGAAGCTGGCAAGTTTCAAGACTATGACCAGATTTTCAAGGAGTGGTTGAGAGAAGGTTTCGTGGAGAAACTACACGTGTATGAAGAAGATGAAGAAGGCACTCACTACCTCCCTCATCATGCCGTGATTAAACCACAGAGTCTCACCACCCCCGTTCGACCAGTTTTTGACGCCTCATGCAAGACTGGAAGAAATCCCTCACTAAATGATTGTCTAGAGAAGGGTCCCAATGAACTGGAACTCATCCCATCCATCATTTTACGGTTCCGAGAAAAGAAAATCGGCGTCATCTCTGACATCCGAAAAGCGTTCCAAATGATCGGAGTGCACGAATCCGACCGAAATTTTCTCCGATTCTTATGGTGGGAGGACGTGGCTGTGAAGAAAGTGCAAGTTTTCCGGCATATGCGAGTTGTTTTTGGGGGCAACTGCAGTCCATTCTTATTGGGAGCAGTTTTATCACTACACCTCGGAGCGGCCGATTTACCCCAGCGAATAAGGGACATCGCCCAGAAGCTGTTAAGATCCATGTATGTTGACAACAGTGTCACATCTGTAGACTCCATAGAGGAATACGAAGAGTTCAAGACAACTTCCATTCAACTCCTATCTGAAGCAAAAATGGACTTACGTCAATGGGAGTGTGGCTCTGCGGAGGGATCCGGAATCGGCCCAGCCGGGTGCGGATTGGTGACTGGTGGAGACCACACCCCTCAAGAAATGACGACAGTCCTGGGATTGAAATGGAACAAGTGCCTAGACGTCCTGATGGTAGAAGTACCCAAAGTGGATCTGCCAGAACTAATTACTAAACGTGTAATTCTGTCCCAAGTTCAACAGATCTTCGACCCAATGGGATTTTTGAGTCCTGCAACATTGGTTCCCAAAATGCTCTTACAGAAGACGTGGGAAACGAAGATGAAATGGGATGAGGAATTAAGCGTGAACCTCAAGAAGGAATTTTTAGCATGGTGGAATCAAGCATCGGATTTGGAGCAAATTCACATCCCAAGGTATGCGATCAGATCCACACATGACAATCTACAACTCCACACCTTCTGTGATGCCAGCCAAAACGCCTACGCAGCAGCGGTGTTTATCAGAGTCGAAACAGAAGACGAAGTGTTCATCCAGCTACTTCAAGCGAAGTCGAGGGTGGCACCAATCAATAAAGTGACAACTCCCAGACTTGAACTTTTGGGATGTACTATTGCTACACGTTTAACTTCAGCTGTAAAAAAAGCATTGGCATTTGAAGATATCCCTACATTCTACTGGAGTGACTCCACCACAGCGCTCGCTTGGATCCGGAGAAACGACGAGTGGGGGACTTTTGTGGGCAACAGGGTGAAGGAAATTTGTTCGCTTTCATGTGTAGAAGAGTGGCGACATGTTCCAGGGAAGTTAAACCCAGCGGATTTGCCATCAAGGGGATGTTCGCCGTCGGAACTACTTGACAGTCGTTGGTGGGAGGGTCCAGGGTGGCTCAAATCCCCAGACGACGAATGGCCACTGCAAGCAAGTGAAGCAAACGAAGAACAAATCATGTCCGAAGCCAAGAAGAAGTCCATTCAGATGAATGCAGTGGATACCCTGAAATCTTTGTGGTACGTTCGCTATTCGTCATTTACCAAGAACGTCCGTCTAGTGGCACTTATCATCAGATTTGCCAACAAACTGCGGAAGAAGAGTACAGAGAAAGGAGAGTTGAAACGGTGCGAGCTGGAATCTGCAGAGGAGAAGTTATTCATCCTGGTCCAGCAAGAAACTTTCCCAACTACACGTGTACCGGAAGATGTTATTGCTGGCCTGCGTGTATTCAGGGATGAAGATTCAACTTTACTCCATGTCAAGACCAAACTCACCCATCGAAATGATGACACCAACATTTTTCGTCAACCCGTGCTACTCCCGAATTCACATCCATTGGTGGACCAACTCATCAGAGAGGAACACATCTACAATGCGCACGCTGGGGCACAATTCCTCATGGGACGGTTACGAGAACGGTGCTGGATAATCCAAGGCCGAAGAGCGGTCAGGAAGATTATCAAGAGTTGCGTCATTTGTCGACGATTCACCACCAAGGCCCCCATTTTACAACAAGCCCCTTTGCCAGAAGATCGTGTCAAGAACGCCAGAGTATTTCAGACTACTGGAATAGATCTAGCTGGACCATTGTATTTGAAGGACGGGTCGAAAGTGTGGTTCGTCATCTTTACATGCGCCGTTTACCGAGCAATCCATTTGGAACTTGTTTCAGCAAGCAGTACGGACGCATTTCTGCTCGCGTTGTTCCGCTTCATCAGCCGCAGAGGTCGACCGTCAGTTATCTACAGCGACAACGGGACCAACTTTGTGGGAGCGGACAACCTATTTAAGAAGATGGATTGGAAAAAGATCGAGTCTGCTACACGTGTAAGTAGGATTACCTGGAAATTTAACCCTCCATCAGCAGCATGGTGGGGTGGATTCTGGGAGAGACTCATCCGAAGTGTCAAGGATTTACTGAAGAGAATGTTGGGACACAGAAAGTTGGACTACGAACAACTTCTCACATGTTTATACGAAGCAGAGGCAGTAGTCAATTCTCGACCTCTGACTTTGGTGACTGAAGATCAAGACGATCTCATACCACTAACTCCAGCAATGTTTATCCAAGATATTGCGGAGATCAATTGCCCTGAAGTTGAGAACCTGACTGGGATGGGACTGAACAGGAAGTACAAACAAATGAAAATTTTACACGTGGAGCTGCGAAATCGCTTCCGGAAGGAATACTTTGGCCAACTGGTTCAGCGAGGAAAGCACCACAGGTCAGTCTCATTTCAAGTTGGCGACGTTGTTCTCATCGGAGACGACAACAAGAAGAGGATCGAGTGGCCGATGGGAAGAATCATTCAACTCTATCCAGGGAAAGATGGTCAAGTGCGGGTGGCGAGAGTCAAGACCACAACGAACGAGTTCTTACGGCCCCTCCAACGCTTATTCCCACTTGAAGTATCCTCCCCCACTGAAGTCCCCTCTGTGCCCAAGGTGGTCATGGAGAAAGCAGTAAGAAAGAAGAAGGAAAAGGTGAAGTTTGAGGAGAAGGAAGTCATCACACGAGCTGGACGACGGGTCAAGATGCCAACCAGACTTGGAGTGGATGATACCGAAAGGCACTAAGAAGAATTTGTGCGAAGAGTTTCTACCTCACTATGCTTCATATTCTACACGTATAATTTAAGTAGTTGTATGAAACGTAGATTATATTTCTAAGAACTTTCTACGTTTACATTCATTGTTATTTTTGTTTGTTAGACTCTTTTGTTCTCACAAAAGATGTGGGAGGATGTTGAAAGTAGAATCATAGTCTCACTTTGTCTCATTTTCCCCATTTTATTTTATTATTCGAGTATCCCGGTTTGGGGATATTTCATCATCTTTCTGGATCTTTCTGGAAGCGTGGTGAACGTGTGTATGATTGGATTTTTTCTTGGTTTTTTAGTGCAAGTGCGATTGTAGAGTTTGTACTGAATGTGTCTCTCTAAATCTGTTCTCATTATTCTAGTTCAATTTAATAAATTACCTCCAAGGAGAGGATTTTGATTGAACATTTACATGTTTACTTATCTCACTTAATAAGTCACTCGCAGTTCACATTTTTAAACTGAGAAGAAAAGTTAGCTGGTGGTTAATTATTTATCTCTCAACAATTTGTAAAACAAAGGAGGTTGGGAGACCCGAAGAAACCCTGGATTTCTCCAAATGACAAACCAAATTTTACCGAAAGTTTGAACATTTCTCAATTAATACAATGTCAAATTATGGATCGTTCAGTTGTTTCGAGTTTTATTAAATCAAAAAATTCTACTTCCTGCACCATAATCAAAACATACTTACGACGTCCCTGAATTAATGCATTGTGCTGTAATAAATCATGCTCATTAAACGCTTAAGGAAAACATTAAAATTTCAGTATCATGGATCTAGACCACAACGACGTCATATCGGATCTTCTAAAGAAATGGTTTCTAACAAACAAAGCCGAGTGGAACAAGAACAAACAAGTCACTCCTTACGAACCTTTGGTACGGTACTCGTAAGCAGAAGCCATCGTGTTTTGTTTACTTCAAACCTGCAAATCGCACAACTTGGGATATTGCCAAGTGAATGAATTACATATTGAGTATTTATTTGCATATATGTATCAATGTGCATACATAAAATAAATTTGTATAATACATCTACAGAATATCTATTTATTTTCATTTGCACGTGTGGATTACACAGGAAAGTTGTTCACGTGAAAAAGATTAACAAAAAAAACTAACGATGCGATCGTGTGAAGTGTAAACCTCCGATTTTGTTGACATTTTGGAATTATATGGTGCATGCCAATACAACCAAGGTTTCTTGAGGCGATGATTGGAATTTGTCAAAATATTGGAGGTCAAAGTTTTAGCGCCCCAAAATTTGATTTCATTTGATTTGTGCATTCATTTTTTGCGGTCTAAAATATTTGACACTTTCATTATGCCAGAAGTTCTTGCGATTAAATCAAATTGCACATAACTTCGCTACCTGTGTAAAATTTTAAATATAAATTAATTGCCCCTCCCCCTCACGATTTATCCGTGGCAACCTTTTTTCAAGCTCCACCCGAATATCTTACGGAGTAGCAGCCAAAAAACCTAAAACTTCAAGATTGCTACACTCTAAGAAATTGGGTGCCAGCCGGTATCACCGCGCGAGTGGAAATAACGGGTATCACCGTCAACCGAAATCTATCTCCATTGTTGGTAAATAACGTAACGTTACGTTTTTTCATAGAGTGTCAGAGGGGGGAGGAGTGGTCCGAAAAAAGTCGGTGTTTGCGTTACATATGTAATTTATGAACAACCCCTTAGTTGTTTTTTGTGCATTCGGTTGTGTGGCAATTCCTACAAATCATTTTCTTAAACTAGTGTCCAGTGTGTTAGATAGTCAAGTAAATAATGTATTTACAAATGGGCGCTGCACAAAAGGTATGTCCATTTCATACCTGAAATGGCGAGGAATAACGTGAAGTCGGACATTTAAGTAGTTACGATGCTTAATTTGTAAAAGTTCCTCTCAAACAAACAAGTAATTAGATACATGGCCGCATTTCCATACTGCCTAGAATTAATTGGCGAGGAAACTACTTACGTCAACCTATTGTTCGCCATGTCATAAATATATTTGCATACATATATGTAAAACGGACCAACTCAATGGTTGATTACTTACGTACATCCGTCCTTTGTCTGGAATATTACGTTTACATAATTGTTAAGTAGCGAAATTAATTTAATCAATGAGCAAGTAAATTATGCCTCGTTTCTACCAAAATTGCCGACTTCCTCCTTCTGACGTGGTTTCTCGAGACGTGGATTATTTAGTCATTCCGATTTTCATTCTTGGCTAAAAAGTTGGTTCTAATCGACACTGCTTTAGCTCAGTGGACGCATTGATACCATAAATTCCGTAAATTCCACCAGTAAACCAAGGTTGGTTCTTATTCTTTCCGTCCCCTGCACTAATTGATGCCCAATCGATCTTTCCAAACTCTGCCCATTTTCTGGTAAATCCGTAAGCACAAGAGAGTTTAATCCACCTCGCCTACACTCTAAGCAAAAATAACTAAAATTTACTCAAGGTTGGTCTTGAGTAAATTTTAGTTATTTTTGTTTAGAGTGTACGTATCTTATCTACTTTCCAGGAGGAGGTTTTTGAACCTGCACAATTCCCATTCGTTCAAAAATCTAAAACAAGACTTAGGTCCAAACACAGTTTATGCCTTCTAGCCTTCATCAGCTCGTCAGACTTTTTTTAAAGTAATGTTACACATATTTGATATCGAATATTTAGAAAATCTTACCTTGATTTATATCCATGATTAAACACTTAATTGTATCCAATACTAGCCGACTATGAATTCCACCCTGGTTACCGTTGCCCTAATGGTCATTGCCCTGTCGTACTCTGAAGGTCGCCGTTTCTTCCATTTAGCTTCCAAGAGATGTCTCGATGCTGAAGGGTTCGTTAAGGACTCGCTAAAAGTGTCGCCTTGCAATGACAAGAACCACTTCCAACAATGGGATTGGGTTGATAACTCCACCATTAAGAGCAGAGCGACAAAATTGTGCATCGCGACCATATCCAATCACGGAACCAGCACTCTAAACATGAAAACTTGTGACCCGCACGATGACGAAAACCAGAGATGGATAGGAGTATCGTATGGCAAGCTTTACAATCATCTGAACTGGTTTTGTCTACGGGCGGATGAAAAGCACACGGTCATCCCGCAGGGTTGCGCGCATTATTCAGAACAATGGAATTTGAGGTGGAGCGAGTAGTGCGGGAATGGTTCACAGGGGCATGCTGCGAAAAATGGGGAGCTTTCATAAATTTCATAAAGCAAAAATCGACAATTTTTTCACCCATCCTCCACTTTATCAGACTAGTGTCACAAACTCATTCAAGGCCGAAAATTTAATAGAAACGCCGTCATTAAAATTCCTACTTTTTGAAGTATATAATATAAGAAAATAAATAATAGTTTTGCTTGGTAATTACGTTCTTACATATTATTCCACAGTAAATATATTTTATCATTGTTTGTGTATGTGAATCGGTGTGAAAGATAAACTCATATGCATCTTAGATCCTTGAGATTTTACTGCTCGTTTCAAGAAGATCGGTGCGAAACACGTCGGACATGTGCATTGTAAGTACGTTTCTTCTGGAATGAAATTTTGAAATTCTTCTTCTGCTGTATTTAGTCATAAGAACATTCTACCTAAAGTCCGACGTGTATTTGGAATCCTTTACTCACAAGTCAAAGGAACCTCTTTCCCAGAATTGGACACCTCATTTTAACCTAAGTCTTTAATTCTTCCAAATTTAGCCCTCTAAATTTTCCTTCAGAAATGACACTTCATATTTTTGCGACCCTTACTCTCCTAATTTCCTCCCTAATAGGGTTCATTTCTTTAACAAACTTGACCACGCCTATCCAATTTAATCACGGGTACAATTCCATTCTAAATTCCGATCATGGATGTCACATCCACCTAATTTTTGATCTCCTCGACATCCAAATTAATCCAATCCTTAATCCCGTCACCGTTCGTCAATTTCGTCTCGGTCCCATCACTAGACACTAATCACTACTATTACAAAACCATCCTTCATAACGCGTCTGGGATAAACTTTCTCAGAATAAAGGGTATTCACTGCGTCGTCGCGTTGACCTATTTTCGAAATCCTCTCCTCCCTTACACCGTCCAACTTGATAGAAACGAATACCCCAGCAGAAATCTGTACATTTTAAGCAACCAGACTCAATACAAATTCGAATTTGTTCGATATGAAATGAGTCAATTTTACGCTATAATTTTTCCAAAACCTCTTCACATTCCACAAAAAAAAACAGAATACTCCCAAACTTCAACCACAGATTCAGACCACGGCAACTTTACCACCTTTACTTCATTCAGGACGATGAAAAACTTAAAATTGGGCTATTACCAGTCTTAAGCTATATTACCATCGGGGCAAAAACTGGAATTGTACTTATCTCCCCAAATTTCAACCATCACTCCTTACATCCTCCCACCTTAACGAGGACTCACTATTTTTGTAACTTTTGTTTAAATCAAGTCAAATTAATTGATTTTAATGACAGTTTACAAAATGCTATCCCTATTTTGGACAAACTTTCCCGCATTTATTACCCCCAATGTTGGGATATTAATTCCCCCATAGACATTGACGAGGCCGACATTTCCTTCTGGCTACAATCAGCCACACCCTTAACTCATTCGCAGTCAAGAAACGCCATGGATTTGCGTTCATACATTTTCCTCCTGTTATTAGCTCGTACAAATTCCACCTATACGAACGACCACAGACCTTGGTCACCGTACCCTAATTCTTCACGAGTATTGCAATGCCGTGCCGCTGCCCCGAACAACCTTGGCGATTATACAATATCATCTTGGCGACATTTCAAAGGTGATCACTATATCCATGGTGATATACAATTTGATTTCTCAGACTCCAGACTTTCTGCCATAGATGAGAAACTAGACTTGTATGATTACGTAATTACGGGGACGGACACATTAAATTTTGTGTCATGCTATTCCCAATCTGTTCTTAGTTTTCAAGATTTTCTGCGACCTTTCCAAATCGAGGCGTGGATCGGAATATCCGTAACGATTGGCAGTCTCGCAATATTGTTGCATGCCATTTTAAAATTTGTGGCGTCCTTAAATCGTCTCATCGCCCTGGACAGGTACACCCTGCTGCCTTATCTCGTCATGTTGGCGTCCATTTGAGAGCAAGCAGTACCACTCCCTAAATTCTTGAGGGATAAATTTGCCACACGAATTGTATCCGGGTTATGGTTTTTGGCCATTGTCATTATTTGCAATTCGTTTAAAGGCTTAGCAATTACTGGGATCACGTCCCCACTACCAGAAACGGGTGTGGATTACTTTAATAATCTCACCGATCGAAGGGTAGGATTAGTTTATGACTATCCCAAAGTCAGGATAGATAACCTGTGGGATTCAGCCCTTGGGGCGAATGATTTTACAATATTTTCGTCCCGGGGAATCCATCTCACTAATAAAAATTTATTTTCCACCTTCATTTTCCACCTGAGGATGGCTCTTGAAAATATCATTTGGGAAGATCAGGCTCGAGGGAAGACATGCTTTTCGGTTAAAGATTACCCCCTGGTAAGTTTTACATGTTTTAAAAATTAGTCTCACTGAGACCATAATTCTCAACAGAAAATTTTATTGATTATGATATTAAATTCTTAACTACATGTGGTGGCAACCAATTAAATTTGAATGATTTCCATAAAAAAGTTTTCAAGTTTTGAAAATCACGAAAAATCCAATTTTTAACATTCCTCTATACAGGGAAAATTCCAAAATTTGTGGAGAAAAATATCCAAAAAAGAAAGCTATTTACCATACAGTTTTCCGCAAAATATCAAAGAAACACTCGTATTTTGAGAAATTGTGAGAAATCTGGATTTTTGGAAAACACGTTATATGACTATTTCGTCTAGTAGGAGCATATTTTGAAATACGTCATATGACGAATTTGGACAAAAAGATGTTAAATAGGAGATCGTATTCGAATACTTGTTCATATACAGTTAAACTTTAAACCACTTATGCTGTGAATATTGAAACAAGAGTACTTTTTCTACATCCTCGGATTATTTACAGATTTGGTACACCGTGATGGAACGTCAGTCTCCTGAACTTGACTACTACGGTGAAAAAAACAGAAGCGAGGTAAGTTCCGAAATTGAAGCCAAATTAGTCGAATGTGAGATCGGCGAAAAAACTGCGTTCGCCGATATTACCCAGAAAGTGGAAAACGAAGCCCAATATTTGTCCGGACATTACCACTGGTTGACATTTTCGGTAGGGAAACAGCCCAACATTGCAACCAAGGCGGTTAAGTCATATATTGACACCGGCGGTGTTGATTCGACAAATTTTTATTTTGAGTGTAGTTTATGTATCCAGCTTCGTCGTTTTAGTTAATTTTTTTTCCATTGTGTCATACAATTTTGGTTTCTTAACTGAAAGCGTGATTTACAATAAAAAGTTTATTGTCCTGGAGCAAATTGTCCATTATCGGGGTTCTAAAAAGGTATGATAAAAGTTATGTCCTAATCGTAACTCTAATACGCGAAAAATATGGGAGTTCTACATCATGACAAAGTTTGCATAAGGCTAAAAAAGTAAATTCAGTAAAATTCACGCTACAAAATAATATAAGCATTCAGATTTAATTATTCATAAATTTTATGAAATCCTGAATTACACAAACTCTTGCCTTAACATTTAGATAAAATCTACCCACACGCAACCAGCAATTGTGATGACAATATAGATTGAACAGAGGAAAATCCATGGCCAGTATTTCATTAGATCGAGATGGGGTTAGCTGAAAACGTTCGGGTTGTCGCGTTTACATGTCTGCTCGTTTTATTCGACTCAGATGGATTTAGAAAAGGTGACATACTCAAAACATATATCAAAAAAAGTGTGACTCAATATTTTAGAATCTTCCCTAACTCATAAACGGGGTTTGTTTAGTTTAAATTTATCATATCCTCGCAAAAGCTGAGGGAAATCAGTGTGTAAATATTAGACTCCACCAGCACATCGGATGTTTCTGAATTTTACTCTAATCGTTCCCATTTTATGGCGCATATAGGCAGATAATGTATTCCAAATAGTAGGTTTCACCCCTCAATTACAATGGTCAAATATCAGAAAAAATGATTGGAAAAATAATTCTCTAATTATTAAGGGGTGAAAGCCCTTTATAAGATCGTTATGTCCGTCTGTCCGTCCGTCCGTCCGTCCGTCTGTCTGTCCGTAGCTCCGATAACTTTTGAACGAAAAGACATAGACACTTGAAATTTTGAACGTAAACTCCTAACGTCAATGGACAGGACGAGTTCGAAGATGGACACTGTGACATCGTCACCTGTGGCGAAGACATCGTCACAGTGACGAAAAGTGACGAAAAAGTGTCACTTGTCAGTTTTGACATGTGACACGTCATTTTTAACTATTTTTCAATGTCAAATTCAATGGTGACCTCCATTTTGACCTCAGAGGTCATGTAAAGGTCATAGGACATATCTATTTCAATTTCAACTGAAATTTAACCCCGAATTCATTGGTGACCTCCATTTTGACCTCAGAGGTCATATAAAGGTCACATAAGGGTTATCAACTGTTAAATTTGACACAAATAAGACACAAAAGTCGAAAACACGTCAGAAGTGTCAATCTTAACAAATTTTCGAACAATTTGATATTCACATTGACGTATGACACTCCTTTCACCCCTTGGTTACATGCGTTGTAACGGTTTATTTTTTCTAAATTTTGGACAGGTCTCATTTTTCTTACGTATTATCACACATACACTTTCTCACCTAGCTCTTGTGTATTGCTGAAAGGAGCAAAGTTGTTCAGCAACAATTCCCACAAATATTTTCCCATTGTTATTTATAAACTTATTTACAGGTGTGGAAACATAGGTACTTATAAAAACGTTAATCTATGTAAATATCGCTTTCACAGGTCAAGGAAGTGTGCAAGCTCGATTAGACCAAACGTGTAGTAAAGCTCAAGATTGCACCGTGAACAATACAGAATGTCGATATGGTTCTTGTCATTGCTTAGGAGGATTCTACGGGTCGAACTGTGAACGTATTCATAAATACCACACTGTATGTCTATATTATAAATGTTGTCGAATTGGGTTTAATTAAGCTCTGTTGTTTTATTTAAACTAAGGTTCAAGTTCACGAAATTGTCACAATTGAGGTTGCTTAATTTTTCGCTTTTGGTCAGTTTAATTGTTACTATTCAATATATTCATCATTAATTCGTAGGATCATCCATGGGTGATTGTAAACCAATCGTGCCTAACCTCAGGAGCTGCTAACGAGTCTTCTTGTCGACACACCCCATGCTACACCGGCTTTCTAGTTGATCTATTGCAAAAGATCGATAAACATGTGGGCGGGAATCTAGAAAACTGCACAATCCAAGAAGTTTCCACCTTTGGAAACAATTCAAACTTGAATCGAACTTTTACAAAGGACGATGTCTTCGAAATTCTCGCTGGAAATGTAAGCTTATATTAGATCCTAAGGTGCAGGGTCAGGTTGAAGATGGACACTGCAGGTCACACCCATTAAGGCTAAAAATATCACGAAAGATTAAATTTGAAAACTATATCAATTTTAAGACAAATTTTACATACAATTAAGTGATTACCTCCTTTTCGATCTCAAATTTCTCAAAAATTTAAATTTGAAATATGTACATGTCACAAATGTCGAATATGTACAGGTCAGACAGGTAAATGTTAATAATCGACGTGCAACACCAAAATTATGGACAATATAAAACACTACTTGAACCCTTTGGTTACATGCCATTGTAACGGTTTACTCAAAATTAATTTTTAATTTTAGGGAACCGACATTGGTTTGGCTGCATTCAGCGGATTCAGCATGAAATACCTTAAAATACAAACGTCCTACCACTTCATCTGGAACTTATTGCGGAAGCCTTCTAATCGTACGAATGACGAAATTGCTATTGGATTCCCTAAAGGGTCGAAGGCAGACGACTCGATATCTTACGCGTAAGTCCTTTCTTATCTAGTACGAATGTCGCAACCTTTAATTAAACCATGCAGAGAGTTGGAATTATTCCAACATTGTGATGAACAGAAAACTCGATAGTCTATATTGCACATCGCCCTGTTTTGCAAAAACTTTCTCAATTGTTTTCAACATTCAAATTTACAAATTTCATTATTCTTGAAATGATACATTATCGAGTCATATCGGATCTTCTTAAGAAATGGTTCATAACAAATACCACCCAGTGGAGTAAGGACAAACAACTCACTCCCTATGAGCCATTGGTAACGTACTCGTAACAAAAATATATTTTGTTTTAATTACATGAAATCTGTAAGTCGAACAACTTGGGATATTTATATTTGGTGCATGAATTATATTTGTAATGATTCTTTTTGGCTTGTATCATTGTTAATAAAATAAATGTGTACAATCAATCTACAAAATATTTGTTTTCACGTAAACATCTGTGTGCTATAGACACTTCTTAAACCTGCTTAATATTAGTATTTCAGCTTTATTGAATGAACCTTATTCAATTAATAATTTAGAATGTTTACTTACGCGTTCCTTTTAGATTAGAGTTTATTGCACATGTTTGCTGAATCATTTGAACAGTTTTGTTATTTATTGACAAATGTATTCTTGTATAATCATTTACGTATTTGTGTGATATGTTTAAATACAAATTAGGAAAACTGGTTTTACATTGATACATAAAAGTTTTAGGGAAGCTTGTTAGTTGGCGTTCAATGAATGTAAGAACAAGATCGACGGTGATCTTGTTGATATCATATACAATAAAATCGTCATGTCTACTGCAAACCCGTACATCATCAAAAACTGTCTCTATCACTTCGTAAACGTGATTGGGATGTCAACTTTTCTTTCCTCCAGTAGCAATCAACACCTAATTAGTAATTTTACCAAACACGATTCCCTGAATTGGAAAACATTTGTACAAACTCGATCACTTAACTGTAATGTTAAAATTTTGCTGCTCGATATAGTTATTTCCACCTTGAAGTATGACCTTAATGTAGCTTTCAACCACTTGGCTACCCCTGAGTCAATTTTAGAAAACCCAGATTACATTGTACTATTCCTCAAGGCTAATTTGAACATAATCCCGGTAGAGTTCACGAATTTCTTTAAAGATATTTTGGCCTTAACAGTCACCTCCAAGTTCCTTATCATCGATCCTACCAGCACATTTTATCTAAATCTTCTCGATGCTACGCTTTTCAAGGTTGAAGACTCCGAGACGATCATTGCAATATGGAATCCACATATAAGTAATTTTAGAGGCCATCCTGTCTCACAAGGGAACCTTAAGTACTGTCACCTCTCGATTTCCTTCGGAATAGCCTTATTCGACAGATAATTTAGTGAAACAAAAACTTTGTCATAGAACATGCGGTGCAAAATCGCGTTTTCGCGAAATATTTGGCGAGAGCTGCACCAAAACCTGCCATTTGCCCAATGCTTTTAACATAGCCTCCAGCCTTTCGAATGATGAAATGAACTTTATAGAATCTCAATAATTTATATTTGTACCTGTCCGCGTAATTTCAGCCCGATCACGAATATGCAAAAAATGATGCAAAGATTCGCAAATTTTTTGCACATTGCAAAAATGCAAATATCTGCAAATTTGAATTTCTTCGTTTTTTTAAATTCAACAAATTTATCAGTTTAACTGATATAAAGTATACTTTTCTGATTGCCAAAAAATTACAAAAATTTGCAAAAGATTGAAGTTTACAATTTTTAAATTCTGCTTTTTATAGAAACTTAAGAATTATCATATATGCTGGTATGAGCGAATAAAAAAAGCTAATTTGTTGAACAATTAAAACATGCTAACATTGCAAAAAATTCTACATATTGAACTATAAAATTGCACCAAGTTTTTGCAACTTGTAAAAATAAATACCACAAATAATTACGAAAACCACGTAAAAATAGATTATTTAATTTATTTTCATGAAAAATTGCGAAGTTCAATTTTTTGAAAATGTGTGCAAATTTTTTGCAATGACAAAAGTATATTTTATATCAGTTAAACTGATCAATTTGTTGAATTAAAAAAACCAAGAAATTCAAATTTGCGGATATTTTTATATTTTCGCAATTTGCAAAAAATTTGCGAATCTTTGCATCATTTTTTGCATATTCGTGATCTGGCTGAAATTACGCGGACGGGTACAAATATAATTTATTGAGATTCTATAAAGTTCATTTCATCATTCGAAAGGCTGGTGGCTATGTTAAAAGCTTTGGGCAAATGGCAGGTTTTGGTGCAGCTCTCGCCAAATATTTCGCGAAAATGCGATTTTGCACCGCATGTTCTATGACAAAGTTTTTGTTTCACTAAATTATCTGTCGAATAAGGCTATTCCGAAGGAAATCGAGAGGTGACAGTACTTAAGGTTCCCTTGTCAGTTCCAAAACTCCGTACATCTTACGAATATTTTGGAGTAATTTATAACAAAACCGTTGTTTGCCACCTGGGATACAAATATTCTTCCAGCGGACGCTACTGTCTAATATACACTATTTCTACAATACTTAATTTCACTGCTTTTGACTATGTTTTCCAACCTGATGAAGTTCCTACCATCCGACCAATTGCAGTAGTTAGGAAAGATGGGCACCAGGTTCTCCTTGAATTTCTTAACAATCCAGCGGATAGAATGCAAGTCCTTTCCCATTTTTACACCGTTCTCCCGTTTGGCTTTATTTTGATAATTGATAAAACCGAGTTTGAAATTGCAAATCCGATATCCACTTTTGATGTCTTTACTTGGTCCCTCATTTTGTCAACCATTGTACTTATCAGTTGCTTTCTGTGGATTGAGAATGGAACTGGGGATAGTATTCTTCATTTTAATGATCTCCCACTGCTTACAGTAGCAAGCATCGTCACGGAACAAAGTATCTCCATCCGTTCATGTACAAAAGGGCGTACATTCCCCAAAGTCTTCAAATACCTACTTCTCGTTTGGTTTGTTATTAGCATTGTTCTTTTTGGAGGTTTTCGAAGTGTCTTCTACCGTTTTCTAACTAGCTCCGTCCCACCCACGAACGTCCCCACAACTCTGGAGGAACTTATGGAATCCAAGTACACAATGGTGGGATCAGATTCGTACTTAGTATCCAAGGGTGATGGTCCTACCATAAGCGTTCTAAAATATATCCTGGAAAGCTACCTGTATACTTCGGTGGACGAAGAGAAATACGATGCCGTCGGAAAGGGAGCGCAAGAGATGAGCAAAGTCAGCAAACGCGAAGCCCAGCGTAAACAAAAGTTTACCGAGGGTTTAAAGAAACTTGTCTTTCTAGACAAAATGCCATACTCGAAGCTTCGAGTTCTGCACAATTATAGTTTGTCAGTTCCTGCTTGCTGTACAAATAAACCTGGTATTGTTCTACCCAAAAGCTTTGCCATGGTTAGCTCAACCGAAGGAACGAGACACTTCTACAACCAAATGAAGAGCGAAAGGGACAAGTACTTCTTAATAATGAGCAAAGAATTCGACTATTTTCTTTCAACTACGGAACTCTTCGCAGTCACATTAAATTTCTTTGCCGAGCCTTTTCGTCGCACTCAATCCATTCTCATTGAGTCGGGACTTTTTCAAATCTGGACCCAATATGGGAATGATCTGATGCTTAAGCACGATATGCAATTCGCGTCTTGTTTGGTCCACGTGTACTTGAATGAGGGCATCAAGAATAAATTTTGGGAGTACAGGACTTGCCTAGTTGGTCGCCAGGATGACGTTACACAGCTTTCACAAAATTTACAAGACCAATTTGCTCGTCCTGTTGTACAAAAATCTTATAAAAATTTCCGATCTTTGTCTCTTAGAGTTGTGTCGCTAATATTTTTCGCATTTGGGGCTGGAATTATTATAGCATTTGGTTTCTTCTGTTTTGAGCTGTTTAGCTGGTTTTGTACCAAGAGAAAGATGAGTCGTAATTTGCTGGTGTATAATCGATGAATCGATAATGTGCGTAGCAATAAAATAGCTTGGTTGAAGCGTAGTAATATATTTACTATCCATGTTTTCTCTATACCTAGTACGCGCAAAAGAAGTGTTACAAGATTTCCGGGATCGTCTCTCTT